CTCTCATCTTTCTTTTGACAATATTAAGCCAGCTGGTATATCTGGCAGCGTGGCCAGGTGCCGAGTCCTCCTGGAAAAATATTAAATCAGGATCTCCATAAAGCTGCTCAACAGCTGGAAGCATGAAGAATGTTCCTGGTCGACAGCTGCGTTTGGTTTTAGCCTTGATAAAAACCCAGGCGTGTCTGATATCATCCCTGGTAAGATTGTTCCTTAAAAGAAAAAAATGTGAGCGTAACTCATGTTATGGATAGATATCCTCCAGCTGCAGTCCGCCTGAAACTGAACCCTGTTTCTTACACTGGGGTTGGTGTGCAGTCTTCTTAAAGATGCGATTATTACCAGTGCTGGGCAAGGTTTTTTTCTTTAACTCAACTTTCTATTAACATCCCTAGACATAAGTGGGTTGGTCTAAAGTGTGTGTGTGTGTGTTTCAGTGCAAGTTGCTGGAGCAGCATGTGGAAATGGGGGAGCTGCTGAAGGAGTTTGAGAGCGTCCCGAAGCGCGTCCCAGGAGAGGACTGCATCACGGCCCTGCTTCCAGAGAACAGGGACAGAAACCGCTTCGCAGACGTCCTGCCTTACGACAGCAGCAGAGTGGAGCTGGTTCCCACTAAAGAGAACAACACAGGCTACATCAATGCATCGCACGTTAAGGTCAGAGGCGCACGGAGATGTTTAATAGTGGTTCACAAACCTTTTGGCTGCTAAGGCAAAACATTTCTTGAGATCTTCTCAAGGCCCAAATGATTTCCTGGACCGCTTTCGGTTTTGCATTTAGTCTCGCTCTCTAGAATTTTAGCAAGTGCGCTGCTGCTGTTCAAAATGAGTGTTTAAGCTTCGTCAGTCATGCGTCTCAGATTATTTGTGGCACTCAAATCTCTGCTGCTTCCCACTTGCTCCCGTTGTCTCCGTTAGGTAACAATAGGTGGACAGACGTGGAGCTACATCGCTGCACAGGCTCCTCTGTCTGCCACGTGTGCAGACTTTTGGCAGATGGTGTGGGAGGAGAACGTCTCCGTCATCGCCATGGTGACTGCTGAAGAGGTGTGTCCATTCCTTCCAGTCAAAGTCAAACATTTGCATTTATTCGTTTGGGTTTATCTAAAATGCTCAGATACATCGCCCTGCACAAAAAAATCTGAATTATTCTCTAACGTGTCATCAAATGAGGCGAAACTTTTACTATTTTTATGCTCTTTTGGATCTATGAGATTATTTCTGTTTGATAAATGCCAAAATAACCACATGTATTTAAAAAATATATTATTCTTTAAATTCATACATTTTCATACGACTATTATTGTCGTGGTGGAAACTGGTAGCAGAGTGTCATTCCCTGTGAAACAATGGATTTTAAAAGGATGTCTAAAAAAATCTCTCATATTACTTAAACACTGTGTACATAATACTAGACAATTCAGCAGTTATTTGAATTGGTTGACGTTGGAAGTAAATTATAGATGTACAGCTCAAAAGCTTTCACTAGCAGATACAGACAGGCTTTAATTAGGAAAAGGATTTATTTTGGTATTTAGAAATGGGCTTTAGGTTGTTGACTGAAGAACCGCATATAGCTACTGATGTCCCTGATGCCATCAAGTGTCAGGACGGAGATCCAGAAGGTTCTTTTTAAACAGAAGTAAAGGATGAGGCCGAATATGGTTCCCTGAGGAACTCCTTCTACTACAGAACCAGTTTTTCTCATCCCTGCCTTCCTGCAGGAGAGGGGTCGAGAGAAGAGCTGCCGCTATTGGCCTCGTCTCGGCTCCCGGCACAACACGGTGACTTACGGCCGATTCAGGATCACCACGCGCTTCAGGACGGACTCTGGCTGCTACGCCACCACAGGGCTGAAGATCAAAAACGTCCCCAAGGACCAAGAGAGGACCGTCTGGCACCTGCAGTACACGGACTGGCCTGACCACGGCTGTCCGGAGGACTTTAAAGGCTTCCTGTGTGAGTGGAACCAGTCTGCTCCGTATGATCCAATCTGTTATTGACTTGTTATGAAATATTTCAAAGATAATCCATCGCTTCTTCTTTCTGTGAATACGTCTCCAGCGTACCTCGAGGAGGTCCAGTCTGTGAGGAGACACACGAACGCCATCAGTGACCCGAAGAACATCAACCCAGTGCTGGTACACTGCAGCGCCGGAGTGGGTCGCTCCGGAGTCGTCGTCCTTTCCGAGCTCATGATAGCTTGTCTGGAGCACAACGAGGTAAACCGTCCTTCGAGAAAGAGGAGGAGGAAAACCAGAACGAGCGTTTTGTAAGATCCGTGACTGTTTCAGGTGCTGACTGTCCCAGAAGTCCTCCGGCTGCTGCGTGACCAGAGGATGCTGATGGTCCAGACGTTGTCTCAGTACACGTTCGTCTACAAGGTTCTCATCGAGTACCTCCGCAACTCCAGGCTCATCTGATGGGCGACGGATTACCGCAGAGAGGAGGATTAAGCATTTATAACAAAACTGCACTGAGGCAGCTGCTCATATCTGTCCCCAGCGTGGACGGCATAATTTGGACCCTGGTTTTGCCAAGTATTAAATCATTTTCATTCTAAGAAGTGAAATGATGAGAGAGAAGAGACGCCACATGAAGAAACTCAGACTGTGACCTGCCTCTTAACAGTATTATCTAAACATATTATTTTTTTACACTCACAGGTCATTTAATGGAGCCCAGCACTTTTTTGGTACCATGTGTACTTAATGAAGCAACGCTAAGCTGCGTAAAACAAATACTCTGTCTGTCATACATACTGAAAACTTTTATGTTCATTTAATGAAGGATACTTTGGAAATGACGGCTAGGTGCTTCTGAATAAACAAGAAAATCTTTGAAAATCTAATTTATGTTAATAATTTGATTCAAAAAGTAAAACGTGGAAACATTATGCAGTGATATTTGATAAATATAGTTTACAGCTAAGTTTGAAAATCACTGAAAACAAATACAACGGTGTACACTGCAAAAACACAAAATCTTAGCTAGTATTTTTAGTGCAGATATCTTGGTAATGACAAAATTACCAAGAAAAAAAACTAACTTACAAGTAACTTTTCAGCAAAGTATAGGCGCTTGTTTTAAGTCAATAATTTCTGAATATTAAAAAAAAAGTAGTAGTTCCATTAGCAGATTATTTTACTTACAACAGCGGTTCCCAAAGATTTTCTGGGCCCCCTTATGGATTACCACAGAATCCCCCCCAAAAGAAAAAAATCAGTAAATCAACTGGGCACACGCAACGTTCAACCAGACATAAACCTGCTCACACATTTTGTTTTCAAACTCCACACAAGTTTATTTCACACTTCAGGTTGCAACAAAACACTCTACAAACCATCTTTACAGTGGAACACTTTTGAGTCAATTTGTTTCTTTAATCCATACACCTTCACACACTTCGGCAGATTATTTATAAGTGAAATAATCTGCCAATGGAACTAGTAGATTTGCATCAACATTAAGGAATTATCAACTTTCAACATGCTGCTGCAGTTTGGTGAAAAGTTACTTAAAATGAGACAAAGCTGAAAAACCAGACTAAAAATGCTTGGTATGATTTTGCAGTGTACAACTTTGGGTTTTTATTAGCTGTAAGCCATAATCATCAAAACTAATCTCCCAACATATATCAGTGTTAATAAATCTGCATAACGAGTTCAGCTTTTTGGATTGAATTAACCGTGTTGGATTGTATTCCACTTTATTCAGATGCACCTTTGCCGTATTATTGCTTTGTTTCGTCTCTGCCGTCTGTGGGGAAACTCAGAAAACAGCTGATTGAATCTGAGCTTGTCTCCTAGAGATAAGACAAAAATAATAATAATAATAATCAGGCTGTTTGCATAAAAATATGCACCTGTAGTGTTTTAACAAAATCTACTTTACCTCTGAGGAGCTCTAAAGCCACACACCTGCTGTAAGAGGGACACTGAGGACTGGACTTTGTGACACTGGACGGATGAGAACTGGAACGAAGAGAAAAAGCGCTAATTTTTAGCTTTTATTTTTGGGGGAGGGAAGGGAGTGTTATTTATTTATGGGTTTCTAACAATTGGAGTTTGTATTTAAAGATTTACTGTTTGCTGCAACTAAGAACAAATCAATCCACCGTCTAAGCTGTTACGAAGTGCCTTAGAAACTCAGAAGGCAGAGCTTTTTTTCTTATTTTGGAAAGCTAAGAAGGACATGCTTCTGAATCGGTGTAATTTATTGAAGTGATAAAGCGTTTTGTGAAGGAGATGCGAATGAAACGTGATTTGTTTTTGTCCTGCATAAATCAGACGACACGCAGCAGCGAGCTGGTTCGGCTGAACGCGGCGTCTCCGGTTCCGGCGTTCTTCTCTCTTCACACGCCGCACCGGCTGGAGTCGCCCCCACGTTTATTCCTCGCTCTGATTATTAAAGCAATCAAGAGTTTAAACCGCACAGAAACGACGTTTACAGACACTCTGGAACGAGAAAAAAAAAAAAAAAAGTTATTCAGGTAGCCTGATTTTTTTTTTAAAGACGCGACGTGAGCTGAAGAAAATTGCTTCAGTTTCTTTTTAAGAATTAAAACTAAAGTGTAAACATTCAACCATGTACAGGTACTTTTGTCATTGTAAATTCTGCTCCAATGGAATATTGTAAAAATGTTTATAAACTATATGTATTAAAGCCAACATGCTAAAAGTAAAAGTATTGAAATAAGTTGTTTTTACCAGGACTGGCCACATTTACAGGGCAGACCAGAAGTTTACAGTCACATCACGCTAATTCAAATACTTACTGTTTTTTTTATGCTTTATTTGTTTACACTCAAAGGTGGGCTGAATAAACATTTTAATAACATGAATTAAGTTTTCTTTTTCACTAATCCACAAATGTTAAAAATGATTGACTCCATTTTGTTGGTGGAGTAAATGAACTGAAACGAACACACAGATCAAAGCTAGTGAAAATGTGTCGCCTCGGTTGAAATCTACAAGAACGGGAGTCAAAAACCAGCCGGGATCACGGCAGACGCTTGTCAAAACGCAGAACTGGAGTTTAATGAGTTCCACTCAGCCAAATGTTAGAGGGCAAATGTAGATTCAATGATGTCCACCATAAATTCAAACCTGAGCACACAATTATTAGAAGTTGGTGTGTAAATACAAATAAAGAACAATTAAAAAAATAAAATTTAAAAATCCAAAACCGATATTACATTTAGAGCAATAACAGGTGGAACTTTTAACCAGCACTACAGATTTGATCAGTCATCCTCTCGTCCACCCGCTCTAATACTTCAGGTGTTAAAATATTTATTTTAGTCAAAAGTAAAAGACAGTTAGCATTTCAAAGTATTACACGATGAGTTTCCCAGGACTGTGTTGCTAAAGAACAAGTCTTGTTTGTCGACCCGTAGCTCCCAATTGGATCTACATTACATCAGTTGAATTTAATCCGCCTGTTACCTGCGATCGCGTAATGACTAGAGATGCACTGATTGCAGTTTTCTGGCTGATCATTGATCTCTAAAAAGCCTGACTTGCTGAATCCAGTTCTGGCAGATGCTGATTTTCTCGACAAGTGTCACCGTCAGGTGTTTTAAGGTTGAAACACATCTTTAACCTTATGTCATTGGAAAACAACATAAAAATGAGGTAGTGTTCTCAAATAAATGAGAAGTTTAGAGCTTTGCTGTCTAAACTATTACATTAGGTATAAACTAATTTCATAGTTTAATTCAGGCCTCCTACTGCAGATGTGGAGGTAGATAAGATTGATGGATTCGATCGGTTTCACATGTAAGTGTCGACCGATCACGTAAAATTAGGAAATCAGGGCCGACCAATCAGTGCATCCCTAGTAATAACAGCCGATTTGTCCATAAAACATATAAAACAAAACAAAATACTAAAGTCTGATGATAAAAAAATAATAATAAGGAGGGAAGGTTTCCCATTGGCTGGTATCAGATGAGTGTTTTGCTCCACCAGATAAAAACTGAGTTGAGTTCATGTTAGATGATGGGGTGTGTAGAGAGCTACATTTGGACCAAAACTCAAAACACTGCAGATGCTAATACTGGTATCGTCCTCTCTTCCCTCCGTGTCCTCCATAGTCTCCATGTCTGTTGTGTCCTCCTTGGTTCCATCCTCCTCCCTTCCATCCTCCGCCACCTCCCCATCCTCCTCCTCTTCCTCCTTGACTCCTGCCGCCGCCTCCCCGTCCTCCGCCACCGCCACGCCCTCCCCATCCTCCGCCTCCATCTTGCCTCTTCTGCCAGGGGGGCATCTCAGGCGGCGGGGCGTCTATCTCGGAGGGACGTCCTCCTCGGTCCGGCACTCTTCCCATCAAAACCTGTTAAGGTAACCAAACGTCTCCGTGAGTCTCACCCGTCAACTTGAAGTATTTTTTTTACGATATTTTCCGCATGTGGAATTTGCGTCTTGCACCTTGTTGACGGCGCAGGCGGTGTTCGCCCGGCTGGAGCCGCTGCTGGTCTTCACCACGTTGCAGATGTCCTCCCTGGCCGCCAGCAGCTCGGCCGCGCCCACCGAGGGCCGAGGCTTCAGAGAGTGACGCTTGGGCTGGTAGGCTCTGGCCATGCTGTCCACCTTCACCTGAGCAGACAAGACGCTCTTAGCAAACGGAGCCACGTTCGTTGGCTAGTACTCGGTGAGTGACGCCGTGTTTACGTGCCTTGGCTCTGTCTGACCAGCCGAACGACTGAACGGTGACGTCCAGCCGCTTGATCAGCATCCTGCGGCGACACTCGTACTCCGATGACAGAGCCGTGTTGATGCCGTGCAGCTTCTCCTACGGGGACACGCTTCGGTCAGGACTGGGCTCGGCAGGGACGTAAAGCGTGTGACGTGAACATGTTTACATACCCACTGCTCACTGCTCAGAGACTTCTGGAACACCGGAGAGCCAACGAAGCCGTTAGGAAGTTCTTGAAGCAAATGTTCCACCTGAAATTAAAGGTTTTTGTACTTTAGTAAATTTCACTGAAATCAACAAGTCGTATAAAAATAGAGACGAAACAAATCAGGCCAGCTAAAAGTTGGCCGCCTGATCAGCCCTCACCTTGTTTTTTACTTGAGAAAGAACCTCTGCTGCCTCTCTTCCTTCAGGCTCCGGCAGCATCAGCGTCTCGCAGATCGCCGAAAGCTCCCGCTGAACCGGACTCTCGTCCCGGCGCTTCTCGGAGTCTCTTCCGCCGCTCACGATCTGAGCCGCCTGGAGCTCGGAGCTCAAAAACACTACAACAAGGCCGCTCTCGTTTTAAATGTCTCCCAGTTGTCCCTCGAGAAGCCGATTAAAGGCGGCCAACACTTACAGACAAACTTTAGGTGGTCTCTTGTGGTCCGTGTGCCGCTCCGCAGGATCCCTGAAACAGATCCTTCAAAGGGACAGTGCAGCTCTTTCAGCAAACCGCTCAGCTCTACCTGAAGGCTCTCCATGTCGCCTGAAGAGAGAAAACCAAGAGTTGGGAAGTTTGAAAACTTACTAAAATACTTTGCAATAAGTACAAAAATAAAAATTAAATATTTAGGGTCATTTGTTTTGGCTAACTAATATTAAAAGTCGAACTAAACCACAAAACCTTCCTTGATGTTATAAAAGGGGATATTATGCATTTCCAGGCACAGAGCATCATTTTATAGCACAAAAATGTAATTATTAATAAGGTGCCCTTTAAAAAGAATGTTTTTCTTTTTTAAGGCCACATTGTTCTGATTTTAAATGACCCATTCTTGTCTTTCTAGATAGACCATTTGTAATAAGGAATAAAGGCTTCTGCAGAGCACTGGATGTTTCAAATGTTTTATCTTTTAGTTGTTATTCATGGCAGTGACTCGCCTGCTCCAGACGTCAGGCTCTCCTCCAAACCACAGAGGGGCTTCAGTCCGGACGCCAACCACCGACACAGCTCCACATACTCCGGGGACGAAAGGCCTCCCTCTGCCGCTCCTAGCAGCGCCTTCTCCTCCAGCAGAGGTCCGTCATAGCTGCGGAGCGTCGCGCACAACCGTGAGGTGTATAGCATTCACAGAAGCCAGACTTACGTCACGTATTCTCAAAACCGCGACTTCTTTAGTCGTCTTCAGTCCCACTGAGGCTCAAGACTGGAGCTCACCGGCTAGTCGACATGCTAGCAGCGACTTAGCTTACCCCAGCTGCTCCAGGGAGTCCAGAACGTCGCTCTCCATCCCCGAACTGTTGCTTCGTCGGTTGATTAAAACATGGTCACGTTACGAGAGGATGTGTGTCAACATAGACATGATTCGGACCCATTCATTTTCACCATGATGCCCGTGTGTCCAAGAAGGTCCTTCAGCTTAAGAGGCCGGAGTGATACAGTGACGATAAAAGGTTCCGTGTCCGGTAAAAACATAAATTCACAATAAAAGTCATAGTAGAAGTTATAATAATAATAATAATAATAATAATAATAATAATACGTGGACCATAATCATACTTTATTTACATGTCAGATATTAAACTGATCTAGGTGTATGTGAAAAATGAACTACAGTCGACATGGATGTTACTCTTATGAGTTGAGTAACCAAACATTGGAGCATCTTGTAAAATCACATTCTTCCAACACTTTTTTTGTCACATAATGTCAGACAAATAGAAGTAAAAAAAAACAAAGAGCATAGTGATGTAAAATTATACCCCAAACTTTATCTAATACATCTAACTATGACTACTACTAGACTGAACAGATGTGATTCTAAGAGGCAAATAGTTTTCTCGTCTTATTCTCAAATTTTCTGCAACGTAAAATCATGCCACTCCTATCTATCACCTAATCATCAAGCAGCAGGATGAAGTTGCATGACTTTGTTGTGCTTTAAATGCCCAGTTTGACCAGCTTAACACACTGGAAGGATATCAGTGGACTTAAAACCAGATTGAAGAGATTCCAGGTTTTAGGCTCTCCAGTGAGAAACTGTTCAGTGTTAACACACTATGAACAGTTTTTAACCTTTAACAAAGAGCATGAATCCCGCTTAATGAAGAAGTCTGCTTTAATGTAAAATTGTGACTTGCAGTGTTTTTATGGTCTTAGCTAAACTAAAACTCCTGTTTTCCTGGTATTTTGGTTTCTTTGGTCGTGAGTTGCAGTCAGAAACTACAACTCAACCTCTTTACTAAATCACAAGGATGTCTGCCCACATTTACAGCACAATGTAAAGAAACACAAAATGATATGTCGCTTGTTTTGATCCGTTAAATTGTTGGACATCGGAATTGCAGCATTTGACGTGGCCTTACCAGTCAGTGACATGTGCATGTGTGTCTACCACTTCTGCTCATCTAGAGACAGACATTGGTAAAATCTCACAGGATTTCTCTGTATTTACCTCCATCATTTAATATGCAGGTCATAATGTTTTGATCTTACCAGAACACCTACCTCCACATGTTTGCTGCCTGACGCTTGGCTTTTACCAACATAACTTACAGACTTCATGGATTTTCTTTTGGTGTATTAGAATAAGAGCATATGCAAAAAAAAAAAAAAAGCACAAAAAGGTTAAAATTCACCATTTTATTATGATAATGTTATTTGATATGTCAAATTACAAGTGTATGATGTAACATAAAAACAGTTACAAACATATGTATGCATATTTACATTATATATTTATGAAAAGTAACAAGCTACATCTGTATAAAGAAAATACAACTATGACATGAGTTATTGGTTCTCTAAATTGTACATCAGATACTTGGTATTCTCAAACCTGATCATACCTAGACATGTAGAAACCAATTAAAGCAGGATGAGTGACGTTAAACCGTAAGATAGAAACTAGGATGGACGTGAGGCACTTTTTTTTTTTTTGTTTTTTTTTTGAGGTTGTCAGGATGCGAAAGTCAATGGCACTAGGAAACTCAAAGGAAACACAAATGCTCGGAAAATATGCACTGAGAAAGAACCAAAGAAAAAAAAAAACAGGCAGTGTTTACAGAATAGTTAAGAGTAGTACCACTTATACTGCAAGTTCTTAAAAAACACAAATGTCTTCCACTATTTAGAACTAATCACAAATGTTACATCAAGCGCTGTAAGGTGAAAAGAGGGGAATAAAAACTTACACATCATCAGTGCACCAAAGCATCGGAGAATTGAAACAGAACCACTCCACTCCTGTGTAAAGTAATCTTTTCTTTAAACAATACACTGAAGAGAAAACAGGTTTATATAGCTTCTTTGTTTTTTTTTTTGTTTGTCTTTTTTTTTTTTTTTTATCTACACAATGTCAAGAATGTACACCTGTATGCATTCCCAAAGATATGCACAATTTCCAAGATCGAAAAAGGATAAAAGACTAGCAGCAAAGTGGTTAAAACTGAAGTCTTAGATAATGCAGGTAAAAAAAAAAGTAATATATATATAAATATATATTAAAGCGGACAGACACATGTTGCATATATATTACAGTACAAGACAGGAAGTTGCACTGCGCTGGTTAATGCAGAATGAGAAGGGTTATTCCAGCATTCTCTACACTTTTTTTTGTTTGTTTTTTTTTTCCGTATAAATGCACGTCCGTTTTCTTTTGCTTCTCAGCCAGCAAGTTTTAATCAGGTGCATCAAACCTCGGTCAACCCGATTACGATGGGAGAATAATGACAAGCAACCAAACGTTTGGCTAACACACCAACTCCCTCTGCACACACACACGCACACACACACAGACACACACGCGCGCACGCACGCACACACACACACACACACACACACACACAACAAGAACACACATATACAGGCAACACTCGCGCACACAGAGCAATCAAACGTTTAAAAATGACGGCTGTTATATGCTGTTGGAGATTTAGGCTTAACAGTCGTTCATAGCTGATTTCTCTGTCAACACAATAAAATTAGTGATTGTATCTAGCAGCTTTATATGTGGATTTATATATATATATATATATTTATATAGCAAACTTTAGAAACAAGTGGACACCCGCTACTGTACTAGCCTTCCTTCTACCGTACAAAACTAGAGAGAGACTCTATTAGAAGCTCAATAGTCGTATCCATCACAAAGCCCTCTACTTTTCAATGTGAAATAATACTAAAAGGTGATCTATGTACAAACTGCTGTCATTAGAAGCTATGGTATAGGCTGACAGCGACGATAAATACAGCTCTATCTTTATAGACTCCAAAGAAAAGAAGCTGGGATTATTGTCAGTACTTAAATATAGTGTTAGGTATTTACAGGCGCTTAGTTTGGTACCAGGGGTCGGGGCCGCTGACCTATCGCTCGCGTCCCTGCCCGTTACTGACTCAAGTCTGCAGAGACGACAGTGTTTTTTTTTTTGAGTTTGCATAGAAAGTAAAGGGAGCATCGGTCGGCGTGGAAGCGGGGGGAGAGCGGGCTGAACCCAGGTCCAGACGGGAGCGAGCCGCCAGGAGGTGAAACGATATCTGCCTCATTCACTGGGTGGGGATGGATTAAACCTGAATTCTGAGAAACTGAAGATGAAGAAAGTTGGCGTTGATGGAAAAAAAAAAATCAGTCAGGGAGAAATATGCATCGAAACTGCGCTGGTACTCCTTTAATAGTTAAAATAGGCGATCTTTAAATGTTGAAGCTACAAGGCAGCTTGTTAAGAGAACCTAAAATTTATTTACTTCCCCAATGGGCCTGGATTGACTGTAGGCCTTAAGTGTAGATGAAATAATCCAAGACAATGCAACCAGCGACTCTGGTTCTGTCCAGCTACGTCCAAATTTGCCTAACACAACATTCTGAACGTGCTCAGAGGGAGTTTTTAATGTTATTGTTGTCGCGTTCATCTGTGTGTAGAAATCAGAGAATGTGGTCTGGCAAGGTGTGACACCTCGTTGAGTCTTTTCCTGGCAATTTAACGTAACTAAAAAAGAAAACACACTATCGCTGCAAATATTTTTTTAGATGCTGGACAGAACCAGGGAGCCGCCATCCATCCATTCATCTTCCCTTCCTTCATCTGCCTTTTAATCCAGCAGACAAAACCTGCCCTAAGCTCTGAATCGAACCCTAATCCAGCCGTCAGAGGGGCAATTAAGACCCAACTGTACACATGAGCACATATGCACGTGCACTTGCAAAAATACCTCAAAGTAATGCATTCATTCAGGGCCTGTTCAGAGATGACACACGAATGGAGAACGTCCGACACGCTACGGGAAAGGACAGAACACAAAAACAGATTCAAAGGACAAACAGAAATTTGGAGCCGGTGCTGCAACCAAAGCTTGGAGAGCAGTGCTTTGACGAGGGGTTCCCCTCTCCCTCCGCAGTCCAATCTGAGTGTTGAATTCACCTGTAAACTTGATCAGATATCTAATAGTTTCTCAATTGGAGAGTATCCTAAATTTAAGTGCCTTGTAATTTAAACCAAGGAGCTCCGACTCCTTTGTTCACCAACGTAAAAACTTGCTGGTTGAGCAACATTTCAACCTTTAATTTAAAACTAATTACAAATGTGAGCAAGAAGAAAAAGAAGTGAAACAATAAAAAATCATAAATTCTCTACAGTTGTCCATACGAGGTGCTCCAACGTGTCTGTGGAGTAGATTCTAATGGGATCAGACGGGTCAGGAGGGTTCTGTGTGCCTCCTCTGAGGTGGAGACTGGAAACGCTGCTTTAGGGACCATTTTACCGCTTCTCATTGTGGGAAAACAAAACATAGCTTAAATCTGGAATGCAATCAAACTCAATAAATAACCTCGGATCAGGAAATCCATATTGACAGAATGAAGCTTTGACTGTTTTGATTTGTGGCTGCAAAACTTTAAAGCGTTACGCCAAAAGATGGGGAATGACACGCCACAAGAACCTCTGAAGGTTACCTTTACTTTGAGGGGATAAATACCATTTAGTGCACTTTTTTTGCTGGCTAGTAATTACATCGTCTGCAAATCCTTCAACCATGAAGGAAAGGCCACTGTTTCCCAAACTGCAAATCCACAAAAAGCAAGAACACATCCCTTTTAGCGCTCTCAAACAGCAAGTTGTTAGTTTTTCTTCTTTTTTTTTGTCCTCGACGTGAAACGGTTGAAGTTGTTGCCGTCTGTACAAAATTTGCTTTTCCTTCATGGAGTTGCATGTTGTGGCCCGACTGTCAATTTATGAGGGTGAATGTCAAAGACCTGTGTGTGTGTGTGTGTGTGTGTGTGTGTGTGTGTGTGTGTGTGTGTGTGTGTGTGTGTGTGTGTCTGTGTGAGTGTGTATTAAGATCTGGTAGTCTGTTGATCGTGAAATCTCCTCCGTCTCAGCCTTAGGCTCCTGTACCTAACGTGTTGCTCAGAGCTCCCACAAAGCATTGCGGTT